ACCCAGGTGGCCTGAATGCAGAGCACCCTACGTACTCGTCACATTATTCTGTATTGCCTAAGGAAAGCTGACTTGATGAAACATTGGAAATCGTGGGTTAGATGAAGTAGCAAGAGAACGGAGGGTGCTGATGCGTGTTCTGAAGTTAACTTGGAGTTTGGATTAGGTAGGGAAGGAAGTGAAAACATGGAGGCCAATAGAGAGGGATTTGAGGATTTGAAGGTCAAAGAAGTAGTTTAGGTGAGATTGGGTAAAGAGAAATATGGAAGGCTTACAATTAGAGAGGAATGTGTTCGTTGAGGTATGATACTCCAAGGCTGCCATGTAGTCAAAGGAATGAATGGCTGAAGGAGAAGGTAAGTCTTTGGAGAAGAGAAGGCTGGAGGATAAGAGACCTGGATTATAGACCAAAGAATGTGGATATTACTGTTTTAGTGAAGTTTTTTCTATTTTCAATATTATTTCATTAATTTGGCTATTGCTGTCTAAATAGTCTCTTTTAATTGTCTTGGATAATTTAGCCCTTTTTATCCTACATAAATTTACAAAATGTAATACATCTCTCATCCTATATAAATTATTTGTATTTAATATTTTACTCACTCAATAAAATATTTTCAGGCTTTTTAACTGTTAATTTTTAGTTTCTTAGGTTGAACAATTTTAGCGTAATCATGACTAATTCAGTTAAGTTGAATTTTAAGATACATGGATGTGTTTTACTGCCTTTGCAATTTGATCTCTAAAACGATGTAAAATTAGGCAAGGCAGTTTTTTTAAGGAAGAGAAAGTAGAACACAGCAAACATTCACTGAACTTTTTAAAAACCTTTTTATCTTTAGAATAGTTTTACAGAAAAATCGGAAGGATGATACAGAGGGTCCTCGTGTACCCCACACCTGGCTTCCCCTATTGTTAGCATTGTAGATCAGTATGGTGCAGTTGTTACAATTAGCAAACCAGTGTTGATATCTTATTGCCAACTAAAGTCCATACTTTATGTGGATTTCCTTAGTTTTTTCCCAGGTCCCCTTTTTCTGTCCCAGGTTCCCTTCCAGAATGCCACACTCCATTTAGTTTCATGTCTGCTTGGGCTACTGTTGGCTGTGATCGTTTCTCAGATGTCCCTTGTCTTTGGTGACCTTGATGGTTTTGAGGAGTACTGATCAGGTGTTTTGTAGACTGTCCCTCAATTTGGGTGTGTCTGATGTTTTTCTCGTGATTACACTAGGGTTATGGGGTTTAAAGAGGAAGACCACCGAGGGACAGTACCATTCTCATCATACATATTAGGACTGTTTGCTGTGAACGTGACTTATGATTGTTGATGTTAAGTGTGTTTACCTGACTGAGGTAGTATTTGTCAGATTTACACCTGCCCTTCCCCTTCCCCTTCTATATGGTACTCTTTGGGAGGAAGTCACTGTGTATATTAGTTTGCTGAGAGCTGCCATAAAAAATGTCACAGTCTGGGTGGCTTAAATAAATGTATTTTTGCACAGGGCTGGAAGCTGGAAGTCCAAGATCAAGGTGCTAGCAGGGTTCCTGGTGAGGCGCCTCTCCTCTTGCAGAAGGCAACTTCTCTCTGTGTCTTCACATGGCCTCTTCTGTGTGTGCATGGAGAGAAACAGGGAGAACTTTGGTTTCTCATTCCCTTCTTTTAAGGGCACTGGTCCTATTGGATTAGGGCTTGACCCTTGTGACTTTATTTAACCTTAATTGCCTTCTTAAAGGACCTATCTCCAAATACAGACACTTTGTGGCCTTAGGGCTTCAACATAAGAATTTAGGGGGAAGCAGTTCAACACATTACAGTATACATAGCCCACACTTGAGGAGTAGGGGTTTATGCTTTACCTTGCTGAAGGTATGTTTTCTACTTAAATTATTAGCAGTTATTCTGAACAGATTTGTTTCCTCTCTCCCATTAATTCATTCATTCCTGTCAATATTGACTTCTGGATATTTATTTTATGCTTTAGGTTATAATCTGATACAACATTATCTGTTTTCTTGTTCAAATTGTGAGTTTTGGACCTAGAGAGCTCATTCAGTTGGTTTCTGTGTTCCTTTGACATAAAGAAATGTAATTTTGTTTTTTGAATACTTTCTGAATCTCTGGCCTTAAATGATACTCCAACAGGTTCATATTGTATATTGTGTATTCTCTGTTCCCAGCCCTAAAATCAGCCATTTCTCAAGGAGCCCTAGTTTCTTTTATTGGAGAATGGTATTAGAAGCCAACATGTGGACGCTGTGTCTGCTCATCGTTACTGAGGCATCATTGTTTCTATGGCCTCCTAGCTGACAGAACTTGAAAATATGCTAACCTGTGTGTATACATGTATCCATAATTATTTCTGTATGTATGCATCTATAGCTATATCAAGCTAAAATGAGTCTACTGTTTCCAAATCTAATCCAGTATCTCATGGAAAAATTCTAGGCTCTTCTGCTTGCTTATCTGAAACTTTACTCCAACAATGAGAAATCTGGTTCCCACTATTTTTCATCAAATTTATTTATTTTTTCAGTCTCGACACACATGTATAATGGTTTCAGAATTAATTGTTTTTGCCATGAGCTAGAGTGCATGCCTGTATACAGTTTCTTTTGCCTTTGTCTTACAGTTCCATTCATCTTCGAAGTCACTTAGGTCAGCACCTCTTTTTACCTTACTCCTTTCAGGGATGTTATGTCATGCATTTGTAATAGTTAACAATCTATTGTCACAGTCTGCATTGCATCCTGGCATCCCCCAACCTCCTAATTGAATTTTTTTAAAGTTTTGTTTATATCAGGTTCACTTTTTGTGTACGTGTGTGAGTTTTGATAAGTGCATAATGTCATGTGTCCACCACTATAATATTAGGCAGAATAGTTTCACCACCCTAAAATATCCCGACTCAGCCCTCTTCCACTTTCTGAAACTCTGGCAACCACTGCTCTGTTTTCTGTCTTGATACTTTTGCTTCTTCTAGAATATCTGTAAATGGAATCTACAGTATATGGGATTTTCAGACTAGTTTCATTTACTTATCACTTTAGATTCATCCTTGCCATTACATGAATTCATAGTTTATTTTTATTGCTAAATAGTATTCCATGGTATGGATGTACTACAATGTTTATCCATCTTCATGGCTTGTAGTTGTTGGTAGCTAGGAATAAAGCTGGTATAAACATTTGTGCAGCTTTCGTGCAGACATAAATTTTTTTAATCAGTTGGAAAAATACCTAGGAATGCGATTGCTGGTTTGTGTACTATGAATATGTTTAGTTTTATGCCGCTAAAATGCCTTCTAAAGTGGTTGTACCATTTTGCATTCCTACCAGCAATGAATGAGTGTTCTTCTTGTTCCATATCCTTGCCAGCAATTCTTATTGTCTGTTTTTTGGGATTTTAACTATTTTAATAGGTGTGTAGTAATATTCCATCGCTAAAATTTGTACGTTCTTTCTTTCTTTTTTTTTTTTCTTTTTGAGATGGACTCTAGCTCTTGTTTCCCAGGCTGGAATGCAATGGCACAATTTCATCTCGCTGCAACCTCTGCCTCTCAGGTTGAAGAGATTCTCCTGCCTCAGCCTCCCAAGTAGCTGGAATTATAGGCATGGGCTACCATGTCCAGCTAATTTTTGTATTTGTAGTAGAGATGGGGTTTCGCCGTCTTAGCCAGGCTGGTTTCTTTTCTTTTCTCTCTCTCTCTCTCTTTTTTTTTTTTTTTTTGAGACGGAATCTCACTCTGTCTCCCAGACTGGAGTGCAGTGGCATGATCTCAGCTCACTGCAACCTCCACCTCCTGGGTTCAAACAATTCTCTGCCTCAGCCTCCTGAGTAGCTGGGATTACAGGAACCTACTACCACACCTGGGTAATATTTGTAATTTTAGTACAGATGGGGTTTCACCATTTTGGCCAGGCTGGTCTTGAACTCCTGACCTCATGATCCACCTGCCTTAGCCTCCCAACATGCTGGGATTACAGGCGTGAGCCACTGAAATTTACACTTTTTTTTTTTTTTTTTTTTTTTTTTGAGACAGAGTTTTGCTCTTGTTGCCCATGCTGGAGTGCAGTGGCACGATCTCAGTTCACTGCAGCCTCTGCCTCCTGGGTTCAAGCGATTCCCCTGCCTCAGTCTCCTTAGTAGCTGGGATTACAGGTGCCCACCACCATGCCTGGCTAATTTTTGTGTTTGTAGCAGAGATGGGATTTCACCATGTTGGCCAGACTGGCTTCTAACTCCTGACCTTGTGATCTGCCTGCCTCGGCCTCCCAAAGTGCTGGGATTACAGGTGTGAGACACTGCGCCCAGACTACACTTTCTTAATGACAGTATTGAACATCTTTTTGTATGCTTATTTTTCATCTGTATATGTTTTCTGTTGAGGTGTTATGCTCTTTTACCAGTGTTTTAATTGGGTTGTTTTCTTATTGTGGATTTTTAAGATTCTTTGTGTACTTAGCATACATGTACTTTATTATATATACTTTAAATATTTTTTCCCAATGTGTGGTTGTCTTTTCTTTAACCGTGTCTTTCACAGAGCAAGTTTTAATTTTAATGAAGTCCAGCTTACCAACTTTTTCTTCCATGAATGATGCTTTTGGTGTTTTATCTAAAATACCACCACCAAATGCAAGATCATGCAGCTTTTTTTTCCTGTTTTCTTCTGGAAGTTTTATAGTTTTGCATTTTACATTTAGGTCTATGATCCATTTTGAGTTAATTTTTGTGTAAGGTGTGAGATCTTTGCTTAACTTCATTTTTCTGCATGTGGATATACAATTTTGCACAGCTTGTTGAAAAGACTTTTTTTCTCCACTGAATTATTATACTTTTGTCAAAAATCACTTGAGTATACTTGTGTGGGTCTATTTCTGAGCTCTTTTCTCTTCCATTGGTTTATTGATTCTTTCGCCAACACCTTGCTGACTAAAATAAAAATGGTTAATCCTCAGAGATGCAGTATAAATATGATGTTCTTTAATTCATTTTTCAGGTGGTTCTTTGAAGCTCTGAAGTATCCCAAGTTTTCCAAAGCTAACGTTATCAATGGAATACTCATGACAGTAGTGTTCTTCATCGTGAGGATTGCGTCAATGCCTCCTCTTTACAGCCTCATGTATTCTGTGTATGGAACGGAACCCTACATAAGGCTTGGATTTTTAATCCAGTGTTCCTGGATCATTAGTTGTGTTATTTTGGATGTGATGAATGTCATGTGGATGATCAAAATTTCAAAAGGTTGCATCAAAGTCATCTCTCTCATCAGACAAGAGAAGGCCAAAAATAGTCTTCAGAATGGAAAACTTGATTAAAGGAGTGCTACTGATAAGTAAACTTTGTTACTACCCAGCATTATAACTGCTGATGGGATGAATTCTTGGCATGTTCTTGTGTATCTTTATTAATTATAATTGTTATTCAGGATTTCAGTGTCATTTTTTTAACCTTTAGAAAAGAGAAACTGAAATTTACTTTTCATCCCAAGATGTCTTTTCTGCCTTTCTTTTGCTTAATTTATAAGCATGGATAAAAATCCTAAAGGCGTAAATAAAAATGATAAATATTGTGGTGAATCTTTTGAGAAACCTCTTAACCTGCATTGGTATTTTTCTCTGTGAAAGATGACTATGATAATCTGGTACAGTTGGTTTTATAACACCAATTTTGCTGAAAGAATGGGAACTGCTTTTAAATCTGTAAATAGCTCTTAACATTTGTTGTATGCACTCTTTTCTTACTATGGCTGCCAACACCTGTGTGGGGTTTAATTTCTATAAATTGTTGGCATGTTCTTCTTCTCAGGCTATTCAGAAGTAATAACATTTTTCATTTCAGACATGCAATCACCTATTAATGATGAAATATTTTACCACTTTGGGAATATTTAATTAGTCATGGAAAATACTTCCTGCATTTTAAGATTTTTCAAATATCACTTTCTTATTTCTATTTTAGCATTTTATCAAATTATTGCTTTTTTCTTTTATAGTCAGGCTTAAGACAGATTAGAAACCTCCTTAAGAGATGAATTTCTTCTTCTAAAAATGCATGTCGATAGTGGACTATTTTGGCTTATAGAAGGAATCATTAAGGAAGAAAGCTTTAACACTATCCCTATCTGCTTTCCTTGCACTTTTTCTGTGAAAAACCTTTTCTGTTTGCACAATCTTCCCTGAGTTCTGAACCCAGCATCATCAGTACCAAAGTCTTATGCAATACATATTTATTATGCTCCTGAAATAGGCCTCTTCTTGATGAGACCCTAACTATTACAAAAAAATCAGTATTCATATTTTACTCACAATTTACTCCCGTGCTTGCTTAGTTGGCATTTTAGTGCTTTGAATTTCTGTCTATCTTAAAGCACATAAAAAAATAAGGTCATTTAATCCAAGTATCCTATCATCAAAAATTACTGTCTGATTATATGAAGATAAATGACTGGCGACTCTCATGTGTGTATGCGTTTTGCTTTTACTTTGGTTCTTGCAATCCAAATATAGAATTATATATTTATCTATTATTGCCTTTATTTATTTTTTAAGCACTTGACTTTAATGATTATTCTTACCTGAGAAAGAAATTTAATTCAACCAGTGATGAATACTTGAAATTAATTGAACTCATACTAAAAGATCTAATCCATTCAGTTTCTCAGTTTGAAGGAGAATGTTTGACTCACTTTCATTTTCATGCTAGCCGAATATAATCAAGACTTTTGATTTGATTACCCAATCAAGATAGAGCCTGGTAAGTTTTAAAATGTTTAAAGAGGATTGAAATCTCAGTCAATAACTAAATGAGGATGATAAAATGAGATTGATTGGCTTATACTAGGTACATTTATTTGTGAAAGAATTGGTGTAAAATATAGTTATTTTTAAAGCCGCCAATAGTACACTGATAATAGTGCTGTCCACATCATAGGCGCTTAAATATGTACTGGCTTTCTAGAGGGGGGTAGGAAAGCAAGTGATTTTATCTTGTTCTTACCTTTTTGCAGGAAAAGTGGCTTTTAAAAAAAGGAAAATATTTATATAATAAAGCTGTTTTGGAAATCCATTCTTTTAGAAAGAGACCTTGAGATAAGTATTTTTTGACTGTGGATTTTTCTATAGTTCTGAACAGGTTTTAAACCCACTATCAAAATGAAGACAATATAAAGCTATAGTATTAGTGAGTCTCCATGTAACAATTTATTTTTATAGTTACCGTTTCATGCTTAAAACTTTATTCTTACTTTCATTAACATTACCCTTCACTGGTATAGCTACTCACAAAATACGTATCTTTAAAATATCAAAATTTTGAACCAAAGTTTGTGATTCCCTTATTCAGCAATCTTTGTCTTATGCTGGCCGCATGACAGTTAATTCAACATCCAGATTAAATATCCTAAAGTGGGTTCTATATATTTCCTCATATAACAGACATGGAATGGAAATGCCGCTACAAATTGCCCTGCTACTTTAAGTCTGACCTTTGCAAGAGATACACTTTGCTGTTCTATGATTGTATTCACCTACCTAAAATAACAGATGAAGACAGAACATATCATTTACTAAACGATGAATTTTTCATTTATTAAAAACTTTTGCTAGACATTTTAAATATTAAGTATTTTGACTACACAGATTAAATGATTCTATCAGGCATTCTGCTATTTAACAACTTAAAATATTTGTAGAAAAATTAAAGCAAATTGATATAAATTTTTAAGCAATTCTATTTTTGTAGAAAAAAAATGACAACCTATAATTATAAAGTTCTTTGAATGTGTAGTATCCTAGAAAATAAAAGTTCTTGTAAAACTTAAAAATGAATGAAAACCAACTAATAGCGTGCAAGATCATAGATCCTGCATTAAATTTTTATTTGTGAAATATTAAAAATTATGAGCTTTAGCTTATAAAGTTTGCCTTCTTATGTGTGTCTAAAGTCTTTTGAAGGATTATTTGCATTTATATAAAACTCGAAATGGAGTTATATATGAGTGCAAAGAAATTAACTTCTGCTCAAGTATGTTTTGATACCCTCTAGTAAGTTGAATTAAATTTTTATCCCAATTGTTTTTTGTTGTTGTTGTTGTTTCATGGACTAGCCTTATGTTAAATGAAATAATAGTTATGTTGTTACCACCCTTAAGAGTGACTCTGATATATTATCGATGACCCAGGACTGTCTTAAAGGTCTAGTTTTAAAAACCGCCTAGTTTGTAAGTATTTGAATCCAGTTCTTTTTTAAATTTTAATAATTTGACTCACAGTTTTTGCGACAGGGTCAACTTTTAAATTGTATACTTCCTCTAAGGCACACTGGGCATTTGGAGAATGGTTCTTCACTAGTGTGGAGGGCCGGGTTTACTATTGGTTGTACCATCTGTTATCAGGCTTGCAGACACATTTTTCTTCTGGAGAAACAGAGGGGAAAGTGTCGTTGCAGTGTACATGTTTCCTCTGTGTCATTTTGAAGGGAAATAAACATGTTCCAAAAGATGCTATTAAAATAAATATTTGAACAACTTTTCTGTTTCTAGGTTGCTCTTAATTCCAGACATTTAAATAGATGTGCATTTAAATGGCTTTAAGTGGTTTAGTCTATTAGCTGAAATGGAAACATCAATAATACTTAATAAAAGTTTATGTATTTTTATGTGTTTTGGATTCCATAAGACATGAACTTAGATAATTTTATCAAAAGTAGCACAGTGTTTCTCAGCAAGTGTGAGCCAGCATACAGGGAGAGCCTGCCTGTGTCTCCGGGTGCACACAGAGCTTCCCAACCCTAAACAGCTAATTGAAATACAAAAGCTACTGAAAGTGAGTTCTGCTGCAAAACACATGTACTGTGTGTGGGAACAATGAAAAGCTAGAGGACCTAGAGTTAGAGGAGGCATTGAGAGTGCTTTTCCCTGAAACGCCCTGATAGTCTTCCCTCGATCTAGAAGTTTTCTCTTTGAATCCTCCCATCTGTTCCTCCTAATACCCCAGATGACTTCATCTGCATCTCCCTCTTTTATGCTAACACCCTTCTTTTGTGACCTCCCCATATATCTGTAAGCTTCCCAGTCTCATGGCAAATTTAAAAGTTTATAAATAGGTTCTCTCCTTGAAAAAAAACACAGTTTAAGTAGAACTCAGAACAACCATGACTTACTAAGAGACTACAGGAAGCCATTCAGCATTCAATAATACCTATTTACAACATGAGGCAAAGCTAATAATGTTATGGTTTTATTAAGAGACATCTGTCATCTCTCTTTTTCTTAAACTGGTTTAACAATCAGAGCTTTGTAATAATGTGTTTCAGCTGAAGATTTATTATAGGCTTGTAAATTATCTAAATGTTCTTTTTAGACCGCATGACGGAAGCACAGAGGAATGGAGATAACGCTGTGTTATGGGAGGGTGGGTGCTGGCTTGTGGCAGAAGTACTTTAGAGTCCTGCTCTTCAGGAAAAACTTTGCTCTGGTAATGTTTCTTTGAAAACAAATTTACCAGCTACTGCGTTACTTGGTGTTTTCCAAAGTACAACACCCAAGGACTTGAACCCTACCCCTTTCTAGGCCAGACTAGGCCAGCTTCTACTTGCTTTGATAATAATTCATACCTTTATTGGTAGATATTTTGGATAGCAGTGGAGAACTGAAGGCAGCTCCTAAAGATTGGTTTGTTTGCGTTGAAAACATTGACACTTATTCACTCTCAGCAGCAGACGGTTTTGATATCAGGCCCTATACATAAGACCAAAACCAGAAGTATTTCTAAATCTCAAAGATTTATAAGTATAGTACCTCTGGCTGAAAACTCGTTAAACATCCTCTGTATATTTTTTCTTTCTATCTTTATGTAATTCGTTCTGTAATTAAATGTACATTAGGGTTATCTGTTTTAACAAGCCTGAAGGTATAGCTGTACATGGAATGTGCTCTGTTTTTCTGTTTCCTGCTTGGTTTGTTTCTGGTATGACTGTGTCCACTTTTTACTTGACGAATTTTGTATAGATAATACTCTCACTAACTTGTAAATAGGATAAGTTATGAGATTTTTTTGGTATTAGAATTTGTAATAATGACATTTAGATTTTATTTGAAAAAGTTACTTGGAAACCAGTAAATAGAGCTATAGTGATATATATATAGAGATAAATACTTTTTTCTGAGAATGTATAATATATAATTGTCAAAGATTTTTGGAAGTCTTTTAAAGTATACTTAATCATATTTTGAGAACATACTTTCAAATTTGTTTCCATAAGGCTGAAGAACTTTTATTTACAAAATGTATGACTAATTTATGAATCAGTGTTACTAGGACTTATCAGTTCTTAAAATAGCAACTTTGCATTCTGTATTTTGTTTCCTGGTTGTTTTATTTGGAGGGATAATAAATGTCTAAGTTATTTCCATTAACATTTTTGAAATGTTTGTATACTTTATGTGTGCCATTTTAAAGTATATGCAAGTTCTAAGCAATAATCTGCATGTTATACAAGGTTGGCATACTTTGTCATGAAATTTTTATTTAATATTTTAAGAATGATGAAATCAACACCCTATAAATCACCCTTCTCCGCCTCCCCTCCATGAAAACCTTGGGATTTTTCTTGTGCTAGAACACTACCGCAGTGTGGTGCAAAGCTTTGTATTTGTGGAAGAAAACAATAAAATCACAATTATTTAGTGCAAAAGTTTGTCTACAAGGTGTATACTTTAATAGTAAGTAATTAATGATAAAATTATATTCTGCAAATCAAATGATCTAGCACCTTCATCCTGAAGGTAAATTTTTATTTCTCAGGATGCTTGCAGAGCTTACGTATTTCCTTCCTTCCCTTTATCCCCGTTGAGGTCCCAGCTTGGTAGCAAACCAGCAGGAGTTGCAAACATTTTAGTCATGCTCGTTAATGAAAGGAATGGTGCTGTCTAATTGATATGTTCTTTTATATTAAGTAAAACTTTTGGCACTTGTGTTTTTAATCTCCTTACCTTTCTCCCTAGGCCTCTCGTGGTTGTAGTGCTTTTTGCTGAATGTCTTGGCTGGGATTCCTACTTTCTCAAATTGCCTGTGGTCTTAATCTTGCATCTTGGTCTGAGAATATCCAGTTGGTTAGGAAGCAGAGCACTAACTGAATAGAATACTGAAGAGATTTGGCCTATGGAGAGTACCATGAGTCACGCTTCAGAGCATGCCTAAAATGTTGTGTCCAGATTTGCAAAGGAACAGCTGAATTTCAAAAGGAAAATAGCAGTCACAGCTGTCAGTGGAGATACACCACAGGTGATATTACAAGTATTCAGAGCTACTCGAAGCAAGCGTAAATGGGGTGTCTGCCACACCTCAGGCTGTCTCAAACACAGTCCATGTTTTCTTCTATTTTCTAGTCTTTTTCTAAAAGTCTGCTTACAGCTTTCCCTCCCTTTTGATGGTCCTTCAGCATGCACAAAATAAGTGATTTGACAAATCTGTAACTTCCCTATGCTAGTGACTGGTTATCTGACAGATGTTCCTGGATGCTCCCCCCAAATTGGACTCTTCATCTAAGGGTGGTGCATACCATCCTCGCTTGAGTAGCTATGCCCATTGTCAATTTTGGCAAGGTGCTGCTAGATCCTTCTGCCATTGCTAGATAGTCCCTTCCTCTTTTCATCTACCTCCAGCTAAATTCAGTTACCATATCTAGTCTTGTCATCTTACCAGATCGTGGATTGTATCAGCAGAAATTACCTGTGGAGAACTTTCAAAATGGACTTGTACAGAAAAGAAAAAGGCAAGAGGGATGATAGGCTGGATGATGCGCTGTATTTCTGTTGAGGATAAAGGACAGATGGAAATTTGGAAAGAATGATACCAAAGGAAAGAGGAAAGAACTTCAGAGAACAGGAAAAATAAGAAATTGTTATGTATATATACATTGCATTTTGGGTGACAGGAACTTATCAGGAAAAAATGAATATAGTAAAATTCCTATAGATGATGTCAAGAGTGTAAAAAGTTACAACTTTTCTCAGAGCCAGGCATGGTAGCAAGTGCCTGTAGCCCCTGCTACTTGGGAGGCTGAAGTGGGAGGACCACTTGAGCCCAGGAGTTTCAGTTCAGCCTGAGCAGAATAGCAAGACCCTATCTCTAAGGAAAAAATGTTTTATGACTTTTATGTGTTAAAATGCAATATGTACATATTCATTATATATGCTTCTCTGTATGTGTAAGTATGTAGGTGGGTGTATATGCATATATACATACACCTGTCTGCACGTAAACAAACACCTGTAGGGAACATGATTTTAGTTACAGTTTCAGAATAAGTTCTATCTGAGAAAGAGCATGTTTTACCAGTGTTTCACCTACCCTGCCAAAGATCAGATGCCTCTGTGCAGAGACGGGCATGAGGAGGCAGCATTAACAGAGCAGTAGTCCTGGTGGGCATGAGCTTGTAGGAGAGTCCAAGTCCTGATTTAATGAAGGTACCAAAAACCAAACTGCCCAACAGTTGCTACCTGGCATGATCTGTGCTGGTAGCAGGCTCGTCATGAGAGGGTGTAGAGGATGAACAGTTTCTGAAGTACACTGTGTTGTGGAGAAAGGATGTACAGATGGAAGAGGCACAAGAGGGTAGGATTTAGGTTGAATTGTAAATTAGAAAAGAGCAATTTGGAAAGAGTGAGGTGCCTAAAAGCCTACAGTAACCATGAAGAAGCATGTTAATCTGAGTCTTAGTTTTGTTATCTGTAAAATAACCTCTGACATTCCTTCCAACTCTCCCATCCTATTAGCAAGAGCTTTAGTTTGAACGGCAATTAAGGAACAAGTGTAGCTTTGAAGGCTTAGTAATATGTTTTAAATGACATTCAAGGAAGATTCTCAGTGTCCAATTAGGTGAATGAGAGTACAGAAGAGGTTAAGTGATGGAGAAACTGCCAAGGACCTGCAAAGTAGTTAAGCCTGATGGCTGGCCTGGGACAAGGAAGATAAATAAAAGGGCTGACCTGAGAAATACCAGAGAGAGAGAGGCAAAGAGATTTAGAAAAACAATCTAACGAATAAGGCTGTGGCATGGAGAGGGGACAGTTGCCACTGGGCTGTGATGTTGGAATGTGGGGAGCTGCAGTCATTTGCCATGAATGAGAAAAGAGAAGGCATCGTAATCAGAAGAATGGTGGAGCCTGTGATAGACTTTTAACATAATGGCAGTGTTGTGCAGTTTCTCCCAGAGAGAAAGAATCTGGAAGAAAGAAAAAGCTCTCTCCAAGTGCCACACTGTTGGGGTTTTTATTACTTTTCGGATTTCTGACCCCATGTCTTGCCTTGACCCCTTGCATGTGGATATTCCGGGTTCTTGACTGGTTGCTCACCCATGGTTTCCTCACCACCCTTTCAGGTTCCAGTGAGCTGATCCCATGATTCATTGTTCCCCAGCTCAGCCCTGTCAAGTCAAGGAGCTAGAGAAAGGTCTAGAGATGATAGTAAGAGGCCCAAAGAATAAGGCCTTTCTCCGAAGTCCAGTAGCTAGAGGCTACTGTGGAGTGGGGAGACCCCAGCCGTTCAGTGGGATTGGCTCCCTGTGTGACATGGTCTTTGTTTTTTGTTTGTTTGTTTGCAAAAAAGTGATTTATATATAGAGAGAGAGAAATAGGAGAAGAAGAGAGAAAGCGTCCACAAGAGAGTATATGGAAGTGGGACCCCAGAGGGGAAATCTAGGAGGGAAACAGAGCTCCCACTATGTGGGAGGGGATTCCAGAGAGCTGGAAATCCCGCGAGGTGGTCTTTGGATAGTGCAAGAAAGGGCAGAAGCTTAAAGGGTGGAGCAGAAGCAACTGTGATCCCGGAGCAGGGGTGGAGGCTGCAGGGACTCTGTTAGGCTCGCAGTTTCAGTTTATGAATTAGGAGAAATGGAGAGGGAGAGGCACTTTGAAACATTCCCTCTTGGACAACCATGCTGGATTTTTGTTTTTGTTTTTTGAGGCAGGGTCTCGCTCTGTCTCCCAGGCTGGAGTGCAGTGGCATGATCTTGGCTCACTGCAAACTCAGCTTCCTGGGTTCAAGAGATTCGCCTGCCTCAGCCACTGAGTAGCTGGGACTATAGGTGCATGCTACCACACCTGGCTAATTTTTGTTATTTTTAGTAGAGACGGGGGCTTCACTATGTTGGCTAGTCTGGTCTCGAACTCCTGGCCTCAAGTGATCTGCTGGCCTCAGCCTCTCAGAATGCTGGGATTACAGGCGTGAGCCACTGCACCTGGCCCCATGCAGTCTTTTAATTGGTCTTCAACTTTAATTGGTCTTCCCTCCAACACATATGCTACCAATGGTGTCATTATTTTAGAATGCATCTGAAATTTTTAGATGTACTGCTGAAAACTTCCGGTACTCCACTCTCAAGTTTAGGAGTACTGCTGAAAACTTCCAGTACTCCACTCTCAAGTCTAAATTCCTTAAGCCAGATCTAAGGTTCTTGATATCTATAACCCTACCCTATCTATTCAATCTCATGGTTCACCCGAAAGTTCTCCCAGATGGGTGCCATTGTCGACTTCGTGTTCATCCAGCTGCAGGCACTTGTGTTTGCTGTGATTTGGCCTAGAGGCTCTTTCCTTCTGATCTATATTCTATTCATTCTCAAGACCACATGGTAAGGGAATTGGTTCTTTTTTTTTTTCACTAAAAATGAAACAAAAATGTTCAGATAGAATTGAGAGAAAAAAGCTCTCATTAAATTATTTTAACATTTATTGAGTACTTACCTGTTAGATCATCACATGAATTCCTGGAACCACCAGGATAAATAAATTCATTATTTATTGGCAACCTGGATCTCAGAACTTCCTGTCCCAAATAAGTAGGGCCATGGCCAAGCTGCTGTGTTTTCTTTCAGCCCAGAGGTCAAAGAAATTAGTTCCTCTCACCCTCATTGAACAGGGCAAGTAGTGGGTGCAGAGCCCACTACAGGCTTTAGAACAGACTTTGATGTTTGAATAAGAACATAGAAAGTCTTTTCATCTGGGACTCTAGAAACCTGGATCCCAGTTCTGGTTTTATTACCTCCTAGTAGGCATTTTAGGCAAGTGCTTTCACCTTGCTGGCTTTTGCTTTTGGATCTGGAAAGTGAGGAGTTGAACTGGTTGAATTGAAGGCCACTTTTCTTTCAAATTCTATCATTCAATAATTACGGGCTGGTTCATGCCTACAATTCTAGCATTTTGGGAGGCCAAGAAGTGTGGATTGCCTAAGCTCAGGAGTCTGCGACTGGCCTGGGCAACACAGTGAAACCTCGTCTCTACTAAAACACAAGAAATTAGCCGGGTGGGGTGGCGGGCACCTGTAGTCCCAGCTACTCAGGAGGCTGAGGTGGGAGAATCACTTGAACACGAGAGGCGGAGGTTGCAGTGAGGCAAGATCACACCACTGCACTCCAGCCTGGGTGACAGAACAAGACTCCATCTCAAAAAAAAAAAAAAAAAAAAAAAAAAAAAAAAAAAAAAAAAAAAAAAAAAAAAAAAAAAAAAAAAAAAAAAAAGAAAAGAAAAAGTTATGGTAATTAGAATCAAGGTTAGGGCATGTAGCCCAGGGTATGGTAGGCTATGAGCAAATTCCTATCAGCCAATTCTAGAATACTAATTTCAAGTGTGTACGTTTTTGGAGGTGGTGTAAATCCCAATTTTGATTGTGACCGTATGCCCTTGATGAGG